TTGACAGTGGTAGCTGGGCACCATCTAGTTCTTCTGGTCTCACAGTTGTATAGGCTGAGGATTGCATGGTGTACCAATCCCTTGGACTGATTGTTTCCATGAATCCTTGGCTTGCTTCAATCTTCTTTGCTCTGGACGAGGAGAGCCCCATCGTTGCATCTACATGGCCACTTGCAAGCTTTTAGGATCCCAGCTATGACTCACCACAGCAGGACGTGGAGCAGAGTTTTTGAGTACTATGTTGTGTCACTTGAGCTTGATGGCCCCTGTGACTATGGTCCCGAGCCCAGGTCCAACTGCTTGCTCCCTTGTTGTAGCTGGCTGTGGCCAAGAAGTGACTGAAACCTTGTCTCTTATCAGCTCTACTATATACCTGGGAATTTTTTTTTTTTTTTTTTAATTGCGATTCAGGTGAAAATTTACAGAGCAAATACACTTTCCATACAGCAGTTCACATACACTTTGTCTCATGACATTGACCACAAGTTAGCACAACGCAACATCTCCCCTCCCATTTCCTCCTGATAGCTACCTCTTCCCTGTGTCCATTCCTCCATGCACTCCTACCCCGTAAGTTGTCTCCCTGTGCCTGAGCAGCCCTTCTTTCTCCATGATTGTTCTCTCCAAGGAGTGTATCTACCTCAGTAAATGTTTAGCTCATATGCTGTCTATTATTTGGCTGGAAGCCACAGGTGTGCGTTCAATTCCAGACCTGAAGGGCAGCTAGAGGTCATAGTCTCAGTGGTTCCACGAGGCTCTATCGGACCAGCAAACCTGGTCCCCACTTTATTTATTTATTTATTTTCCAAATGATTTTGAGTTTTGTTCCACATTGTTACCCCGTCTATCCAGGATCTCCTACAAAGATCCTCTTCCAAGTGGTTGACAGTAGTAGCTGAGCACCGTCTATTTCTTCTGGTCTCATAGTCGTATAGGCTGCAGATCGGATGGTGTACCAGTCGCTAGGACTGATTGTTTCCATGAATTTTTGGTTTTCTTCAT